GGGAGGTGGGGGAGAGAGAGAGAGAGATACAATCAAAAGTACCTGGCATGAAATGAATGCCAGAGAACTCTTAGGGGGGAAATGAATTCCGCACTTAAACAGCAAGACACGTGGCCAACAAAATACAAGTTATAAGCACCTGCCAGTAACAATACACATGATGAACAATATCTAATGTTGTTTTATTAATATTAAAGTTTAGTTGATTGAAGTTTTAATCAGTTAATCACTCAGTTAAATATGCATACTTCTGTGGTAACTAAAAAAATTGTGATGAAGAACGCATGTTCTCAATATAGGCATAGATTTCAACAGGTACTGTCTCTTGTATGAGATGGAAGGAAGGAATGGCTCTCCTAACCCACAGTTGCTGAAATGCATCAAATATTGAAATATTGAACTTTTCTTGTGGAATGACTTTTAAATTGTCAGTCTAACTAATTAATCAATTCAGGCATGCAACCCTAAATTTATTTATAACTTATTCTCTGTTTTTGACAGTAACGGCCACCCACAGTTGCTGAAATGTATCAAATATTGAAATATTGAACTTTTCTTGTGGAATGACTTTTAAATTGTCAGTCTAACTAATTAATCAATTCAGGCATGCAGCCCTAAATTTATTTATAACTTATTCTCTGTTTTGAGAATGATATTGGGAGATTACAACTGGATATTCTCACATTTTATCTTGATTACTGCCACTATGTGTTTGTTTGTTTGTTTGTTTGTTTGTTTGTTTTGGTAAAAAACTTTCTACTCCAGTTCTGTACTGTTGAACCTGAGTTTCCCATTCTAATTTCATCAACAGTTACCAGAATACCCATTCCAGAATTAACAACATGCAAGATGTGATATTGACCAGACTCACCATTGTGTTTTTCTTTCTCAATATACAGACACCCTCTGCAACAGTTCTTGATGAATTCTGTGGCCATTTCTACTTCGAATACAAGCTGGAATACATACAGCCAAGGTAGAAATCAGCCCTGAAAATTAACCATCAGATTAGATCAGAAAAACGGTTATGTTTTAACAAGACTGAAGAAGCTACTTGGATGAGTAGTGAAACATTTAGTCCAGTTGCCACCAGTCATCTTCTAGATAACCTGACCTGGATGACTGAAAATCTTCAAAGAAGAATGTTTAACAATATTTCTCTAGTTTGTGTAGAGAAATATTACATATTACATTAAATCTACCCATCAGGGTGGATTTAATGTAAATTTTGAAAACTGGATTTTTTTATTATTTAAATAAAAATCATTTTTTATTTAAATCAATTTGATTTTTAACTGATTATTTAAATAAAAATCAATTTTTATTTAAATCAATTTGATTTTAAAAATTAATTGATTTTTATCCATTCTAATATTCAGTACAGTGCTAAGGCGAACAATGTCCTGAAATAAAAGATTAGGGACACTTACTTCACTGAGAGAGTAAAACCAATTTTTAATCTTCTTTGCTAAATTAAAACATTTTCATGTGTTTATCCTGTATTCAAGACAACTTACATTCATAATTTTAAAATGGATTTTAAAGAATAACTTTATTATTACAAAACTTATAAAATAGTCACTATTAAATGTCTGCATCAACAATGTCTGAAGCTTTAAATATCTTTCTGATTAACATTTTGCAGACTTCTCCAACAGCTGGTGATAATCTATTTTGCCAGAACTTCTAGAAGAAGCATTTTCATAGCACCAGGGCTACAACTATAAAATAATGTCTAGAGATGGCCATGAACCACTGGTTCTGTAATAATTTATTGTTCTTAGCTTTTAATACAGCTTTTTTTTTTAAATACTGTAAGTTGCCTTCGGTCCTTTTTAGCAGAAAAGTAGGGTATAAATATTTTTAATAAAATAAAATAAATAATTTTACCTTAAGACACACATATCACCAGGCAAAGAATGTAGCAAAGAATATTATTGCAATCCGGTATTGAATAACTTGTCAGATCATCCTTTGTCACCTTATTTATATAAAGTATGTTGTATGTTTTGATATAGGCAAGTAAAATCAAACAAGATTGACTCCCTTCCTCTTTAGTAGCACAGAATCCACAGGGGGTGAATCCACAGAGCTTCTTTCCTATAACTGCAGAAAATCCCCCCGAACCCCTTGGCAGTATTTAAAGATGGTAGTGGCATTCATCTATATCCAAACAATTCCTAATGAATTAATATCTCAATTGTAAAATACAAAGGATCCTCATGGCTCATCAAAAAACCTCACTTTATGGCAAAAGAAATGCAGAGTTTGTTGTGTGTTGTGCAGTCAAGAATATTAAAATTGATTTTTAATTTGCAAAACACAATTCAACATCTGTTCTTATTGTCAGTGGAAACAGGCTCTTAGCCTACTAAAAAGATGTAGTGCACATTTCCATCCTTGCCATGGAGACGGCATTTTTTCTCCTTCATAGACACAATGAAAACTGGCTATTAGAGGACTGGTAACTTTTGAGGGTTTATTTAACTTATTTATTTAATATATTTTCACCCAACTTTTCTCTTTAAAAAGGACCCAAAGAAGCTTACATTATTGAAATGTAATATTTAGAAGCTAAAAACAGAAAGTATACAAATATTTTAAAGGATTACATTAATATTATATTGAAAACAGTAAATAAAATCAACACTAAAAACACTTTTAAAAGCAACAAGACACAAAAAATCTATTAAAACAACTCTCTCAGGCAGATAGCCTCTAAGGGAAAGCCCATCTGTGCTGAAACTGCCTTGTGATGGTATCACTATGTGCATCCAGGTTCCTCTTTCAATATAGCTAGCCTACCTGTATTTTACAAAAACAGGAATTATTAATGTGTTGTTGTTAACATATTTATTATTTAGCACTATAATAAGAAGTATTCTATGGCAGCATTCCACAGGTACAAATGTAAGATTTGCAGAACTGGGGCGATACACCATCCTCTGAATATGCTAAACTTGCTCCGGAAAGCTAAGAAACCCTCCAGAACCAGTTTTCAGGCAAGGCAGATAACTAGAGGAAGAAAAAAGAAATATGTTTCTACTGAGATTGGAAATGAAATGCTGTAGTCATACTCTACCAGCAAGACTTTTCTTGTTCAGATTTTCCATGCATCAACTTTTCTCATTTTCCATGCATCAACTTTTCTCATTTAGCCCCTTTACAATCTTTTTTTAAAATGTCCTGCTGTAAAGAGTAACCCATACTATTTGAATCTGGGTATTCACTCACACAAAGGTATGTAAGATTTACTAATGTATTTTTCTGTTTATAAGACGCCCCCATGTATAACACACACACCAATTTTGACCCTTTTGAGCCTGAGTGCCCAAATCAGAGGGTCACCCTCCAGGCCGGCAGTTCCGGACGCCTTTCCCCCCTCTTGAAATATAGTGGTGCCTCGCATTACAATGTTAATTCGTTCCAGCGAAATCACTGTAGGACGAAAACATTGTAAAGCGAAATTAAAAAACCCATAGAAACGCATTAAAACCCAATTAATGTGTTCCTATGGGCTTTAAACTCACTGTCCAGTGAAGATCCTCCATAGCGTGGCCATTTTCGAGGAATCCGTCCCAGAAAACAGTGGGCAGTCATTTTTTTTACCCGGTGGCCATTTTGAAACCACTGATCAGTTGTAGCAAAATGGTTGTTTTGCGAGAATCGGTTCCTGAAGCAGGGAACTGATCATCGCAAAGCGAAATTCTCCCATAGGAAACATCATTTTGCGATCGCTTTTGCGATCACAAAAACTTCGTCGTAATGCGATTTCGTCGTAAAACAGAGCACCCGTTAAGCGAGGCACCACTGTATAGGCAGGGCCCCCACCCGGGCTTCTTGCGCTGCGCTCTCTCTCTCTCACTCTCTTGTGCCACTGGAGTCACAGTCAATGGGCAGCAACGATTTTGCATCGAGGGGCAGCTGGGCGCAACTCCTCCTTTGCCTCCTGCTGCTACTGTTGCTGCCTGATCACTTCCTTCAGGCAGAGGACAAGGCGGCGGCATGAGCTCGAACTGAGCCCCGGAAGGGAGCGGCACCGAATCCTGCACCAGGCTGGCATGGGCAGCAGCAGTGCCCACAGAAAGGGCTCTGCGTGCCAACTGTGGCACATGTGCCATAGGTTTGGCTTACTTCCATGTACAAGACAACCCTTAATTTTTACTCTAATTGTTTTAGGATAAAGCAACATCTTATACATGGAAAAATACGGTACATCTGCTTAACTTGGTCAGAGAACTACAGCTGGAAAATATCAAGAGTAGTTTATGACAATAACTTGTCTGTTATTGAAAACATGCTATCTAAATTCCTTCAAAATAGAGGGACTAGAACAAAATAAATTCATATTTTTAACAAATCCTAGTAGCTAAGTTATTTGTACAGATCAAAACATACAGCACACTCTAGAAAATATTCTTCTCTTTATAGGGAAATGAAAATGAGAATTACAATTCTAACAATAAAATAGAGAATGCAAACAGAAAAGTTCAAGAGCTTGATCTTCCACTGAAACTGGCATTCCTGCACATAAGCTGAGGCCACAGTTCAGCAGAGGGCACACAACTGACCAAAGAGACTGGGACATTTCCCAGTGAAACTAATGGGCAAAGCCAAGTACGTGTGTGCACATACTGAGGAAGCACATTGAAACTTCTCTGTTGTGTGTGCCCTTTACACTTGACAAGGGAAGATAAAACCCAGTGTAGTACCTCCTGCAAAGGGGCTTCCACATCCCATTTCACATAGCCCAATATGCACGGGAGCATGGAATTAAGTCTCAAGCCTCCAGTACAGATTGCACACAGGGAAGGTTGCAGAGGCAAGGATGAATCGCCCTGAGTCTTTGTTCTGTGGAGAGAAACCATTCTACAAAAAGGATGTGTAAGACGGACAACATCCAGAGTATTTCAGAATACAGTGTTGCCCCGCATAGCAATGATAATCCGTGCTGAAAAAATCGTCGCTATCTGGATTCGTCGCTATACGGGGAAAAAAACCCCATAGGAACGCATTAAAACACGTTCAATGCTTTCCTATGGGGGGAAAACTAACCGCTATGCGGAAATCCTCCATCCGGCTGCCATTTTCGCAGCCCGGTAAGCGAGGAAAGGGTGCGAAAACACTGCGGGTGGCCATTTTTTTCCGGCGGCCATTTTGGAACCACCGATCAGCTGTTTTTAAAACATCGCTATGCGAAAATCGGTAAGCGAAATGCTTACCGATCATCGCAAAGCGATGTTTTGCCATATAAAACATTGCAATGCGATCGCTTTTACGATTGCAAAAACCTCATCGCTATGGGGATTCGTCATTAAACGGGGCACTCATTAAGTGAGGCACTACTATATGTCAAATACAGTTCCTCCCCAAATATGAATCAGCTGTAAAAGGCTACATAAAATGATGTTTCAGAGTACAAAAGTATCCTACATACAATTTTTCCCTTAACCTATATTGCAGATGGAGGCATCAGAGTTTAATACAGCAAGCAGATTTCAATCATTCTCTCCAGTATTTTTACTTTTCTTGTGAACAGACATAATGCTGTACCAGCTGATGCTGCCACAAGAAAAACTAAAGTGCAGATATTAACCACCTGAGAATGGTCTGTGTTTAAAATGGTAATAGAAGGGTACTCCTTCCAAGTATTGTGCCCAGCCGTATGAGGAAAGACTGAAAGAACTCAGCACGTTGAGCCTTGAGAAAAGAAGACTGAAGGGAGAGATGATAGCAGTTTTCAAATACTTGAAAGGCTGTCATTCAGAGGAGGGGCAGGATCAGGTTCAATCCCAGGTAGTGGCTCAAGGTTGACTTGATACATTGCCCCCCTCCAGCGAGCTGGGTACTCATTTTACCGACCTCGGAAGGATAGAAGGCTGAGTCAACCTTGAGCCGGCTACCTGGGATTGAACCCCAGGTTGTGAGCACAGTTTTGGCTGCAGTACAGCCATTTAACCACTGTGCCACGAGGCTCAATGAAAGCATTATTACGGTATTTGATTCCAACGAGAATTTAATAAGTAATTCAAATGTCTAATATGTTCCCTGTTCAAGATTAAGACAATCTATGCAATGAAAATAGCAAGCATAGTTCTTTGCAAGGCAGCTATAATAAACCATTTTTTCTTCTGCTAAACATGAACAAACTTCTATTGTACAAGTCATGTTAATATGGCTTTGTTGTATGGTTTTTTTTTACTATGGCTTTGTTTTATGGCTTTTTACTATGGCTTTTTTATGGCTTTTTACTATGCTTAATTTCTTACCCACAAGGAAATAACATTTAAAATATAGTGTTTATACAAGAACTTCACTTTTCCAGAGAAGAAAACATCCTCCAAAACAAGTTGTGTTATAAACACATACTATGTTATTCAGAAAACAGCCCACCAGCAGCAACAGCACAGAACACCCAAAACATATAATAGGTGTGAAGAACAGACATGTATTTACTGTACAAAAACCAAGAACACTGGCAGTACTAAAATACGTTTTATTGACATGTGTGGGGAAATCCCCAGGGAACCCTGCTTCCCCACAGACATGTTGATATAAAAGGCAAGTTAATGACAAACAGAAATTGGCATCATCTTTCTTGTTTCAAATACCCCTTCCTCTGGTGCAGACAGCTGGTGTACATGGCTAGAGTTAGCTTTAAGTCATCTTCCACCCCTGAATATAGGGAATATTACATTTTATGAAATATAAACAGCATGAAATATGTTCCATATTTAAAACCAATCTACAGAGAAGACCAATTTGAACTATGATCAGAACTGCTTTGAGCAATGGATCAGGTATGAAAATATCATTAATGCCTCAGCAACTGAGCCGGGACAAGAGATCAATGAAACTCAGTGGCCGCACCCCTGATATTATAAACTCCGACCACAGTGCCAGCTGGAGCTTCCAGCCAAGAAATGGCTTTGCTCCTTCTTCCCTCTGAAGGAAGCGTTCTCTGAAAGAGCTCTGTTTAAGCTGGAGAATGGTCTTGCGAAGTGTCAATCACCTTATGTATTCCCCCATCAGGAATAATTTGGAGCAAACTAACCACCTCATAATGAACTTTCACAAGAGATAAAAGCAGGGATATCTCACAACCTATCTGCATTCTCAGTTATGAGAGAAAGCAGAGGAATCCATACTGTTACCCAAACTCTGATGGGAAATAATAGCTGGATTTTCTATGTATTATGTTATGGGATTATGTGCAAAAGCCTAGGAGATGCGTAGACCATCTCCAAGGCTTTTGAAGGCCTGATTAGGATTATCTGGGGATAAAACCTGGGCCATAGGTCAGAAGTTTCTTTCAACTGGACCAAATGATAAATTGACTGTTTAAATATAGAGTATTATTATATATTAAGTATTTTAATGGTTTTAATGTTTTTCTAAAGTTTTAATATCGTTGTAAGCCGCTCTGAGACCACTGGTAATGGTGCAGCTAAAAAAATCTTGTAAATAAATAAATAATAAATAAATTACCATATATACAGTGGGGTCTCAACTTACGAACTTAATCCGTATTGGAAGGCAGTTCTCAGGTCGAAAAGTTCTTAAGTCGAATCTGCATTTCCCATAGGAATGCATTGAAAACCATTTAATCCGTATCTGCTCTTTTTGTCCATAGAAACTAATGGGAAGCTGCTATTCCGCCTTCTGCCACTAGACGGGGATATTTTTTTCTTTTTTCCTTTTAACCTAAGATGACTTAGCTTTTAAAAAAAGGGAAAAAAAGAGTTCATAACTCGAATCTAAGTTCGTTAAGTCGAGTCCATATACTCCTATGAGAGCGGTTCGTAAGTCAAAACGTTCGTATGTCGAGCCGTTCGTAAGTCGAGACCCCACTGTACTTGAGTATAAGCAGACCTGAATATAAGCCAAGGCACCCAATTTTACCACAAAAAACTGGGAAAACTTATTGACTCAAGTATATGTTGAGGGTGGAAAATGCAGCAGCTACAGGTAAATTTCAAAAATAAAAATAGATACCAATAAAATTACATTAATTGAGGCATCAGTAGGTTAAATGTTTTTGAAGATACTGCCCTTCTGAGCTGCGGGACACACTTCACTGCCTGCAGAGGGAGGACTCATACCAGATGCTGCACTTATCTACTCCTCTACTGCCGCGTAACAAGATGGAGAACGACGGAAGATGGAGGAGGAAAGTGGGTATATAGAATATGCAGAAGTGTGTCCTGGAAGTGGAAATGCAGTGTACTTAACCCGAGTCATCGGACCACCCACACAGGCTGCGGGCACCTGTAGATGAGCAGGGGAGTCCGGAGAACACCCGCACTGCAGAGAAGAACATGGAATTTTGACACTGACTCAAGTATAAGCCAAGGGGGTGCTTTTTCAGCAAAAAAAATGTGCTGAAAAACTAGGCTTATACTCGAGTATATACAGTAAGTGGTTTGCAAAAGCCCACAAATTGTGGCCTCAAGGGTAAGATTCAGCATAGTCTAACAATTCAGAAGAGCTGGTTTATCGGCACATCACTGCAAACCTCTCAGAAGACATATTCTAAAGAGCAAGGTCCTAGAGGGATCATAATATTCAAAGCAGGGCCACATATCAAAAACAATTCCAAAATTTAAAAAGAGGATTCTTTTCATATGGGACTGTGAAAGGAACTTACAGCAAATGAGCATATGGTGACATGTGCAAATAAAGGAGCTATAGTTTCCACAAGTAAACTCAGAGGTCTGGGAAAATGAGATTCAACAAATCTATGGAAAGTTGGCACTAGGTGAAGTAAGTGATTGTGCAAGTATTTCGCTGTTTTCCCAGCCCATTATTCAAGCAGCATGGTTCCACACCTGGTAAACATGTGAGAGTGTAAAGTACTTAAAAGTTAACCTCACCTGTTAAAAAAAAAGGCAAGCATCCACTTCAGCTGTACAACACACAGTCATGAAGAAAAAGAGATTCTTAATACATCCAGCTGACCATGATCAGACACTTCTCCACAAACAAGAATCCTTGGGTTCAGAGTGTCCTCAACTGCAGAGAAAAAGAACACTAAATATGTGATTCTGAATGCATCTAAAATGTCCCTTCAAACATTGGCCCAACTAGGAACTTTGGAGTGGATCCAACATGTGCACCCATCACATATGTGCTCCCTTCAGATTTTGCATCGTAATAATGGTTCCACTACTGTTGTTTTAATATATGTTGTTTTTCATGTTTTAAATGGTTTTAAAGTACTGAATTGTTTTATATTGTTTTTATGTTGCACTCTGCCTCGAGACCTTAGAATACAGGACAGAATATAAATATCCCAATCAGTCAATCAAACAATCAATCAGACGTCTGGCATTATAATGTGAGATGGTGCAATTCTTCTCACTGCTGCACTAGATAGCAAGTAATCTGCAATACAATAATGGCATTAAAGGTTTGGGTTAAAAAATCTTTTATAGAAGCTTCTAGAAATCTAATCAAAACCGCTAGCCTTTCTAAACTATACAACTTCCTAGGTTTCAGACAAATATGTGCAGCTAGTTCTACATCATGATCCTTTAAAGACTGAAGCTTTTGAAAAATAGATTCCAACCCTGAAATCATACACAGTCTACTGTGGACTTCTACATACAGTGGCTTCACCTGTCTTTCAGCATTAATATAGTGCTGTGCAGATTGTAAAAATGTAACTGCTTGTGAATTCCTCAGAAAACCAACACATTACTTTTTGAGGCAGAGAGAATGTGGGTAGGGTTCCTTAAGCTTCCACATTATCTCTCTTTCTTTCAGACCAATAGGGTATTGATGTATTCTTGAAGGCTTTCACGGCTGGGATCTGATGGTTTTGGGCTCTTTGGCCATGTTCTGAAGGTTGTTCTTCCTAACATTTTGCCAGTCTCTGTAGCCGGCATCTTCAGAGGACAGGAGTCAGAACTGTGTCTGTTTTCTGGTGGGATAGTTGAGTATTTGTAGCTGTTGGATCAGCTTTTTGTCCTTTTCATGAAATTGGGTGACTATGGTGATCAGGGTGTTTTTTGGTATGGCCATATTGTTGTGATAATGGGGGGAGATGTTATGTCACTGTGATTGATGAGTGTCGTTAGCTAGTCTTTTGTGTGCAGGGATCAGTATTCAGCCCTACCACAAAACTACAACAAATGTTACGGTCAGCAGAAGACAAAAGGGTATACACCCACAACAAATAACACGCTGATCACTACAATCACCCATCTCTTGAAAAGGACAAAAGCTGATCCCACAGCCATAAATACTCAACTATCCAAACAACTGCACCAGAGCACAGACAGAGTTCTGACTCCTGTCCTTTGAAGATGCCGGTCATAGAAACTGGCTAAACGTTAGGAAGAACAAACTTCAGAACACGGCCAAAGAGCCCAAAAAACCCACAACAACCAAATAGGGCATTCTTCTCATACTTTGATTCAAGAGCCAAGAAGTCCAACTCATCAAGATTACTGTTCATTAATCCATGGATAGGGGAACAGCAAAAATATCAAGAGCAGTTTCTTCCCTATCTCCACAGGAAGATTCTTTGGTTTACCTAGCATTTGTATACAGTATAACATGATACGTAGCCCACTGTAGTACCGCAAGCAGGAAAGCACTGCCATTAACACTCCCTATATTGGCATTCAGGCACAAAGTGCTGGGGGTACTCAAAAGATTCCACATGCCTGACTGGCAAGCTGGTGTCAGCCAGTTGTAGAACAGGTAGCAACAGCAGTGCATTAGTCAGGTGTGTCCAGCTACAATCAATTTAGACATCAGAGAAATACGTATCCCCTGTGACTATGCTGTTTTCCTCCTCTCAATGAGATTTATTCCAAGATAAGTCCTTTGGCAAGCAGATTTACTGACGTGCACAGATGCGAAAGGAATGTTCAAGGCATGATGCATGTAATTGGTATTTGGAATGTTAGACGTGTGAATCAGGGTAAGCTCAAAATTGTAAAAAAAAATGGAACATGTAAACATTATAACAATTAGTGTAAGCAAACTAAAGTGGACTGGAATAGAAAATTTTGAATTAGATAGTGACAAAATGTTTTCCTCTGGAAATTATCAATTCAAAATAAATGGGGTGGCTCTAATACCGGAAAATAAAGAAACATGAATAGATATGCATTCTAACACAAAATCTGAATGATAAATATCTATCAGACTTCATAGACAGCCTTTCAACATAATATTATTCAACTCCTTATTCAACTACAGGTGTTGAAGAAGAAATTTAAAGCTTTCATGAAGGTGCCCAGAAAAATAATCAATCACACCCCAAATAAGGATGTGATAATAATCATACTAACTGGAATACAAAAGAAGAAAATTAAGCGAACCAAATGCTGATGAAGAATTTGACCTAGGAGATTGATATAAAGCAGAACAATTAATAGGATTTTGTGAAGGCAACAATTTGTTGCAAATATATATTTTTGGCAACTGGACCGGTAACCAGACATCACTAGATGGTCAGTGTGAAAATCATATAAACTATATAATTTGAAGCACAAAATGGAGAAATTCTGATACATATGCTGAGGAGCATATAAGATAGCTTTAACACGTAAAAGAAGCAGGGTGATATGTGATTCAAAGTGAGCTACTCCTTCTCAACAGTCTTCTGTACACCCAAGCATTAGATCAGAAGATTGCTTTGAGAAACAAGAGGAAACAGAAGCAATACCTGTACACTGTATCATCCATCAAACAAAACACATTTTAACTTAAAGGATGGGCCAAATTAACAGAATGGGTGTGGATTCCTCCTCTGCACCTACCAGAATGGACCTCAGTGAGTATCCAATATTCAATTCTCCAAGCAGTGCAGAGGAAGAATCCATAAACTATGGGGCATATCCAATCCAAAAATTAATTTTGAGGGAGAGATCAGAGGAGAAAACCTGCAAGACCAATATCCCAAAGTTAGGTTCCACTGACTGCTATGTGTTAATTTTGTAATGCCTGATAAAAAGTAGAAGGGGAACTCCAGCCTGCTATTTTATAGATGTGCTTGCTGCAAAGGCTGCAGACACTCTCCTATCCCTGGTAGAATGAGTAGTAAGGTTACTCAGCCAATGAACCTCCGTAAGGTTGTGAATAGGGATGGGTGTATTCATATTTACAAATGAATACCCCCACACAGGTGGACATAACGAGGGTCCAGCCCCATGGGGTCGGGGTGTCCACTCACCTTCCACTGTTGCTGCGGGCTCTGCACTCCCTTCTTACCAATCTGGAGCTTGCAGTTTGCAAGCCACTCTTCAACCTTGCAGCGAGGCTCGTCCTCCTGCCTCCTACCAGGAGTGGGTCCCAGACTGCTTAAATACAAGCCCTATACAATATGCTAGTGTGGCCTTGACCTGACACCAAAAGAAAGCTGAAAAATGAAAACATCTGGTCCTCAATATATATACTTTTAGAGGTTTACACATATCCAAGTTGTGCCAAAATTTTTCTGATGGATGAATTATTCCGTAGCTGAAAGAAAGACAAACCACATCCTGGGATAGGTAAAAAGGGGACAGTGCTTTAGGAATGAGAGTGGGTTGCACATATAAAGCACCTGGCCGAAGTTATAACTAACCCAAAAAAAAAAAAAAATCTTAAATGGAACAAGTCATAAAGGATTAGATTGACACAATCAAGGGTTGGTTTTGTTAGAGACTTTACACTAGCTTGTGACCTAGACTCCAGGATGGTAAACAATAAATAATATATATAATTATTAGTGACTCTCCTCAGGAAAAGCCTAAGATGAGGGTGGCCAGAGAGGTAAACCCGGGCTGGAGAGGACTGAAGAAAGAACCATGGCTTAATGAGGAAGGGGCTGCTTGAATAGAACCCCTTGTCCAAGCTCATCTGTAGGAAAGCCAGGTCTGAGAAGCTGATTAAAATTCTACTGAATTCCTTTTGCACACCTTACATGCTGCCTCAGAAGTCTACGTGATGGATGAGTATCTGAAAAATAAAATGGTGGAAGTGCTTCTGTCTGGGTAGCCAATCATGTGGCTAGGAAGAGCTAGTCAAAATTGGCTACCGAGGGGAAAACATGGAGGACTCACCACTAGGTATAGAATCTGGTGGAATCATGACCTTCTCAACCAGTAAAGAACTAGAAGCATCATATTCTCTTCCTGATAACTTTCTGAAGGACCGTGAACAGGAGCGGGAGAGGAGACTATGACCATGGAGATTCCAAGGCATTTTTTTCCTTCTGTCTGCAGCACCAGAATCCTGAAAAGAATTGGGGAAGCTTGCCACTAGAGGCCAAGACAAAGAGATCTACAGTTGTTCCAGTCATTCCAACTAGCAAAAGACATTCTGGATAGAATTTGGTTCTGCTCAGATGTCTGCCTGCACATTAATAGAGCCCTGAACATACTGAGCTGTCAGAGAGAAAAAAGTTTTCTCTGCCTTTTGAAACAGAGCAGTTGACTCCCTTGAAAGTAACAGAGATATTGTGTCCCCCTTTGCCCTGCTTCAAGATATATGATTTTGTTGTGCTATTTGTGATGTACAACAATACATGTTGATCTACCATTAGATAGGGGAAGTGGTTTCAGGGTTAATCAAGCTGCCCTAAGCTACAACGAACTGATATTTTGCGCAGCCTCCTGAGAAGATCAGAAACTTTATATTGGATCTACCACACAAATGTTAGACTTGCATTTTTCATCATCACTATTAGCTTTGGAGGCTGAAGAAAGCATGTTCCATTCCAAAGACAGGATGGAGAGGCCCACCAGTGAAAAGAGTTATGGTCAGATATGGGTGCTTTTATCTCAATAAGTCTTTGAGCCACAATGTCTGACTGATAGGCTAAAAGCAGCCACTGCAGTGATCTAATGTGAAAACAGCTCCATGTGGTAATCCGTACAGTTGAAATTGTAAGGCCCAAAACTCATGCCAGAGATATTAAACCCTGAGGAAAGCCACAGGAGTCAGACTGGGCTAAACCTGGTATTGATAAAAGCTCCTTGATGTGTGATTGTGGCAGAAGCAGATAAATGGCTTTC